CTATCGAAACTAATGATGCAAATTAATAAAACCTGAGTTATTTTATTATTCATTGTTTTGAATTAGTTTGTAATTCATTTGCATCATTCAGTATGTATCTTTGGATTTTCTGCTTGTGGGATCCACTGTCAGAAGTTCGTCAGATTTGACATCCAAAAATTCATATCTGTATTGATAATTATTTCAATAGAAGGAAAGAACGAAACTTGGAATTATCTGTCTTATCGACGTTGTCTGATGGTGAGTCAAATGAATAAAATTTTCAAGAAATCGAACTGGGTCATTTATAGCCTTCACTGAAATATATCTACGTAGTCAATATAATTAAATATGAATCTATGATGAAAAGCATTCTTAATGTTCATGGACAGAACAAAACAAAAGTTTTCATGTCAGGAATATAGAGTTAAACGATGCTCTGAAGTATGAGCTAACAATGCATAATTGAAAAGAATGATGGAATAGACACACTAAAAACTGTAGAAACAATTAAAGGCAGTCTGATGAACATAGAAACTAACACAATAACAAAAGAAACAATAATTACCTTTACTAGTCGTTCACCAATTGTTTTAGTTTCTTTAATATTTCATTTTGCATTTTTCTAGAAAATTGGAACAGCTAAAACAGTAAGTGTATGGTGATAGTCATATGAATCATGTGCCAAAGATTATTCGTGAGCTAGAGACTTTGTGTAGGTGAAATAAATTTTCATTTACAAAATAGTTTTTTTTTTCATAGACTTCGATTGCCTGAAACTTCTCGCTGCCACATGAATCAAAAAAGTTAATAATTTCAATGTTGCAATTGCATAAATCAAGGTATTATACATTATAAGTTTTCAAATTACTCTTCTTCTTCTTAAGAGTAATTCAAAATTGGTGCTACGAAATTATTAGAATGAAAACTCGCTGTTAAACACTATCTTCGCTTTAACTTCGTTGTTGTTGAAACGAAGTTTACTAATAAACGGATCCTCTATAAATTCATTTCATCCTTATATTCAATGAAGTTATATTTCCAAGGTAGGTTATTATAAGGTAGAAGTATACAGGGTGAGTAAAAACATTTTTTTGCGGGAGTGATGCGGTAATTTCAAATAACATCAACAACAAATATTGTACTAAATTAAAGCGCGTCAAACATGAAATCTTTTAATACTAAATAGTAAAGGCTATAGCAACTTTTCAGTCTGGAGTTCAGAAAATTTCTAAAATTTTAGGTCATACCAGCAGAGAAAAATTCCTTTCATGAGACAATTCAAACAAGATCTTATACAAAATGATGAATATCAAAAAGTAAAATTTATTTTTTTTAAGTCTTGATGAATACAATCAAATAATCAGTGTGACGATCATTAGCGTTTTTACAGCACGGTGATGAGAGGCAGGCGAACAAAAAATTATTTCAGATAGGTCAGTATTTATTTTCATATTGGTCAAAATGTAAGGAATATATTTTTTTTAAAGTTTCTTTATCATAACGAGTATGTTCTGTGTAGCAAATATTAGTGCAGACTTCTAACATATTCTATCTTGTCTCGCAGCTCTTTGTAGCGAAAAAAAAGGTCCGTATTTGTCTCGAAAAAGTTATTGAAACTTTTGCGAAACTCAAAGTGGCAAAGCTCACAATACCTGTTCAACAAAGCCATGTCTATTGAATTTCATCAGGAACTCGAATTCGTACTTTGTCACAAGTTATGAAGTCATTTCCATCTATACTACAATATTTTAAAAATTTTGACAAGTTTATTAATTATCGATAACGATAGTAAAACTCGCTCGTTCACCTGAGAAACTCGAAAAATGATTGTAAATTAGGCTGTCAAAAAAACTTCCAGATATTTCAAAACAACACAACTTGTTGCAGAAAGCGATCGAACTTTTTGGTAATCTCAATTGCTATTTCATTGGTGAAACAGTTACATTATATAAGATCTTCACAATATCGAAGAAAAATATAGGGAAAATCTTCGA